GATGAAGTCATAAAATTTCAACCAAATTATACAGGGCCCTACTTTAGTGAGTCGGGCGTTCATAGTGTCCATATTTACAACAGTAGAAAAAAAGTTTAATGTAAACGTTCTAGGATGTGGGTTGGTACATCTTTTAAAAATATTTTTGGTCTAAAAGTGTGACGTCATAAAATATTTAATTTTTTAAATGACACACCCTGTATTTTTTTGGCACATTGAAGTTCTCTCTTATGTGCTAAAATATATTTTTCTTACTCCCATATTGATATAAGAAAAAATTGCGTGTACTTTTATTGTACCTTGAAACCAGCAAAATTAAGCACCCTCTGTTCTCCAGTTCTCCTAAAGCGTGCTATCTAGAATTAAAGAATAAACTGTTTATATAAAAAACTACTATTAGGATAATTGAAAATGAAATGTTTTTCTCTGCGCATATTTTTATGTGCTCTACTATGGCGAATCGTTTGTATACTTTGGGTAAAATTGTGATTTGAAAATTTTGTTTTAAATTTATCATACGGCGAAACTAATTACAAATATATTATAAGAACCGAACATGCACCTAGAAAGGAATTTTTGATTTTTAGAAATTTGAAGACGTTGTTTATCTTTCTCTCTTACAAAAAATGCCTAATTAGTTTTGTCCCTTTCAAATATAGCCACTAAGAACCAATCGATTGTGTTTTTACGAAGTCCACAGTAGTTATTGCAGATTTTATATTATATTCGATGTTGACGGTTAATTAGTATGAATTTATGTATATCAATGATACCACGGGGATGATTTACCCGTGGAAAATTTAACCAATATTCAATGTGATTTTAATTGGTAAATATATTTTTGGTATGATGTTGGGATTTTATTTTGCTTGTCGTCTTTTCTTGCCGGTTTCTATTTCGGAGTTTTCAATGATTGCCAGTTCTTGGTATTGCAAGTGTTATATAAAGAGTATCCAGAAACTGTTAAACAGATTTTTTGGTAAAATTGACCACATTTTACTTATTAGATGAAGAACATTTATTACTGGAACAAATCGAAACGTGGTAAATATTTAATTTAGTTTTGAATGATCTTAAATTGTTTATTGAATTTAATAATTGGAGGAAAAATATTTTGTTAAAAACCCATATTCTATTTTTGAAACCTGCTTAGGGACTATTTGACGTTTTTAGGGTCTATTCGCTGGAAGTGTGTATTATGTTTAATATAACTTTATAGATGTATGAATGAAAAATGGATGACTACAGAAATTACAATCAATTAAAAAAAATTATTGAATACACTGGTGAGTTCTTTTTCCATACTTTGAGGTGCCGACAACTTTTAGCACTTACCCAAACTAGAACGAAAAAGTGTATAGGATGTCTCACATACTTTTTTCAAAACCTGTAACACTTATCGAGAAATTTTAAATGCAAAAGTTTCCTAGGGAACTTTATATTACTAACTTTTGGATTATACAATTCTGAGGTTTTGATATGAACTTTGTAATGTTAAATGGCACGGCCTATATATTATTGCGTATATGGGTTTAGTGGTAAAAATCAAGGTAACGTTCATCATTTGATTTTCTCATGGTTTAGGAACTATTTAAGTTTATGTGACTTAATTTTTCAAAGAAACTTCCACGTTTCGCCAATCATCCTGTTGGCTTCTTCAGAGCTTGACTGAAACTCTTACCTTACTCCTCACTTACAGCACGTGATTCACAAAGTCTTGATCTTCCATTAATCGCCTTATTTGACAAAAGTTCCTTCCTTTAATTTTGCAGCTGAGAGAGCGGCAAATTTTCCACAGAGGAATTTAATGAATGCTCCATCTTTATTAAAAGCTTTCACGTACTGCTTCATCAGTTCTAATTTAATATGCAATGTTGGTGAGAGAATTTTTCGTGGATTAATAAGACTATTGTGAAAAATATTTTTTGATCGTGGTGTTAAATTAACATTTTTTGGTCAGTTTTTTTCTCACTCAATGTTGCCGTCTGTATCTACTGTCCCACTCACACAAAAAATGCGGGTACTTTGTATATCTTAAGTGCTGACCTAGTAGAAGTCCCACAATTTTTAAGTCACCACACAACTATAGTTCTTGTATTTGATTTTCTCAAGCAGAAGCAAGAACATTTCCGTTGTGCAGAGGAACAGCTTTAAGGCTTCTCTTGGACGAGTCAACGAACAGCTTTCAGTGCTCAGAAGTGTAATCTGTATCAAGTTTTTTTATAAATTCTATCTCGCGCTTCCTGAATATATTTTTATTTCGAAGTCTAGATGCGACAATTTCGGGAACTATCCTTAGATGAACCTACGTCTCTCACTAAGTCATTAAGTTCTGATTATAAAAATAACCGTGGTTGCTGAGAAACACTCCATATACCACCAACATCATTAAGGATGTCTTCACTTATTTTACGGTCACAAAAACTGATACACACTTAGCAAAACGTATTTGGAATATTTTAACAAAGGCTTGGCAGTTTAAAAATTAATTTAACTGCACAACGCTCACTGACCTTACGAAACAACTGCCTACAATCCCAGAAACTATATTTTACTTTCAGGGATTCCTCACTAATATTGTGTTAATTTGTGCAAAATTTATGCCAGTGGCGTAACAATTTCAATTTTTAGAATGTTGCGTAATATTCCTATTTATAAAACAGTAATCTCAATATCTCAAAAATTAATTCAAAAATGTTGCATCTGATAGAAACAAAAAAACATTGTTTCTCTATTAGTTTAGTCTCTATAACTCACAAAAACTTTGTTGGCCTGTGTTATTTATAAATAAATTTATAAAAGTATTTTTGTTTTCGATAAACATTTTTAATTTAGTTTTTTTTTCAAAAATAACATCCAATCTACATATGGATTTTAATTTTTCACAGACTTCCACAGGCTACTGTAATGCTATTTACAAAACTTCTGAATTCCTCCTGCGTCGCCAATCATTCTGGCCATTTCTGTTGGCTTCCTCAGAGCTTAATTGAAACTAGCCCGCATTCTGCTTTGTTCCAACATTGGTGATAGGTAAATACCTGAGTCGCGGTTAAGATTGTTTGGTTGCTTACAGATTTCTGTAGATTCTCGGATTTTTCGTTGATAGAAGAATTGATTACATGTAAGTATTTTAGTTTTATCGAATTAAAACCAACAACGAAAACAACCATCTTAACCGCCACTTAGATCTTTGCCTGTCACAACGATGTTTATGCCCATCATTTAGCTCCGCTCCCCTCAGTATTAGTATATTAATATTATATGTTTTGAAAAAAGTATATTTGTCATCTCATGTGACACAACCCTTAATCTCGACTATAGCAAACGGGCAGTGGTTATAGTGTTATGAATAATGAATGAATTTTAGCCATTTATTATCTATAGTCAGGATAATGGATAATTAACAAAAGGTTTTAAAAATTTGCGTTTTGCTGTGAAAATTGACATTCTCCATAAAGGAATATTTAACAATTGGGTTATTTTTGAAAATTTCGAAAAATAGTATTTTTATATTTATTACTTTTTCAGTTTTTTACAATTGTGCCGATATACAAAAATCGGATAAACTTGATTTTTTCCATACTAACATTGTGCTTTAATATTGTTCGAATTAAAAAAATCACATCTTTGGGAAACTGAGAAAAAATCATCTTTTTCCGTTAAACATTTGCGATTTTTTCAAAAATAATCTATTTTTTTAATATATTTAAAAAAAATGTCGACTTGATATCAAATTTGCCCAAATTCCTTAATGAAAATGTTCCCATATGATTAAACGTGATAATAAAAATATATAAACATTCTAAACAAATAGTTGCATGTGATATCTTCATGATTGTCATTCATATGTATTTTTTTTTGTTACGAAAAAAGAGAAGCAAAAAAATATTGAAAAAGATAGACAAAAATTTGTTTGTTTTTTCTGCAAGCCTTTTTATTATTAATGTTTTTAGGTTATCGAAGAATATTAAAACTTAAGATTTTTATTAAGATTTGCCACATTTTTGAGTTAAGACGATTTCATGCAGTTTGTTTTCGGTCAGACATTGCTGCCAAATTTTGGAATTTGGAAAATGTTCTTGATTTAATGAATTGCTAGTTTAACGAAATATTTGATAAATTGAGAATACAGTAGCTATTAAAATTCTTTTTCAACAATAAATTTCGCAACTTTATTTACGGAAGTAACCCCTGCTAAACACGTAGGAGATTATTTACTAATCTCCTGGATTCTTCCTGCGTCGGTTGTTAATGAACCGGACTTGCTGCGACGTTTCGCAAGTCATCCTTACTTCGGATCTCAACTGAAACTGGTTTGCCTATATACTGTTTGAGGGGACGGAGCCAAAGGAAGGACATGAACATGAACATATCTCGGATGACTGATTTGGTTGTATAATATTTGATATCCGGTTTAATTATCATGTTCGGCAACTGTTGATTAGTTTATTTGTTGTTTATTTAAGGTTCTTTCGTGTTCTTTTTCTTAGTTAACATTTTTCGTCCTGTCTCTCCAGTTTATAATTTTCCTCATACCTTCTGCTGTGAACTTCTGTATCGAATATGGTGAGAGATTTTTGGCGAAGTTGGACAAAAGTTCTTAATAAATAATATAATAATATCTCACCAATATGGAATCGCTCATCCGAGACATGATGATGTTCATATGATGATTGGCTAAAAGTCAGCAACTTCAATTCATCAACAACCGTCGCAGGTGGAATCCAGAAGATTGTAAACAACTATTACTAACTAATTAATTACCTATGAAAGTTTCTTTCAAAAATTGATTGATTGATTTTAGAATACAAATATTTTTTAAAATCGGTGTCCGAGGAAAATATTTTTGGCTTCGTCTCCTATTTTAGCGCAATTTTGAAAACTCCGATAATGAAACTTCGCTTTTGTTGTGTCGGTCTTAGTGTAGTCATGGTCTAGAGCAATGTCTACAGCGATGGAAGGAAAGTTGAAAATTGATTGCGATTTGCTTTCATATATAGGCATCATCGGAGACCCTCCCGAAATTTATCAGACCAAATATCGAAGTCGGTACAGGGACACTTCAATCGAAACCGGCACATCGAATTGAGACCACAAGTATCGATCAAGTTGGTATTCAATCGAAGCTCGAGCCACCAGATTTTACTTTAGAGGATCTTTTACTAAACTCCAAATCGTGTAACGATGAAGTAATACCTCCCCCTTCGGACTACATCTCCGTCCCCATTCAATCCCAATTTCTGACAGCAAATAATAGACATTCAATGTCCACTGTCGGTCTAACCCAACCGACCCAGCTAGAAATTAATATTTACAATTCGCTGCCTCCGTTAGCCGAGGTAACTGCGCCTCTAAAAGAAGAGGACATAATAAAAATTCCTCCACCGCCTCCGTTGTCGGATCCCCCTCGACTCATACCTCATCCCGTGCTCGCCAAAAAGCCGGCAATGTTGAAAACGTTTCGTAGAGAAGATAGGCTCGTTAATTGCGATCCTGTACATTTCGATTCTCTGAAAACGAGTTTCCTAAATGACGACTCGTCAATGTCGCGTTACGGAAATTCGCCGTATCGGGTTTTCAAGGTAACGTTTATTTTATTTACTGGATGTATGCATTGTTAAAATTTCGCAAGTATTAACATTACTTTTTTAATGTGTTTTCTGGCATATATCAATGGCGTTAGAGAAAAATTAGCATGTGTTGTAAATTTGAAAGCATACACAGAGTTTTAAAAAATACGATATGAAGATTTTAAGGGCAAAAATAAGTCTGTTTTTGGTCTCCAATTCCTGACAAAACTTGGTAGACTTGTTTGTCGTCACAAGGGTTTTTTCATTTTGTGCAACAACAAAAACAGGAGAGGGGAAAAGGAGTAAGGCAATAGCACTAACTATAGAAAATAGAAAACTATAGAAAATCTATAAGCAGAGAACCAAACAGAAAACATTGTCGATCAATACCTGGTTATAGGTGGCAAAGCTCGAAGTCGTACATAGAACTGGAAGGCTTAACAATAAAAAAAGCGGGTTACAATTTGCCAAGATGGAAAATATGAAACCGAAATACGCAATGAAGATAGGTCAACTAAAACACCCCACCGACTTGTGTGGAATAAGAATTGAACAAAAAAAACTTAAAACATCGAAAAACTTGTTTTTCTTGCCAGCAAATAATAAACTAGTAGCATGTCAGTAGTTTTGATTTTAAATTGTGTTAGCGATATCAACTCGAAATTTGTATTAATCTTGATTGATGTTAATTTCCATTTCAATACCATTTTCAGAGAACATTGCTGTATCTAAACTACGTCATATTTGTACAATTGTAACAAACTAACTATGTAACTATGTAACAAAATTATGATGTGTGTGCAATATGAGCATGCGCGAGATTTGAAATTTCGTTTTAAACCAATAGCAGCACGAGTTGCAAAATTTCCAGGCAAAAAAGGAATTAAGGTGTCGGAGGCGTTGTTAAAAAGATTAGCGACAAGTGAAGGGTTAATATAATGCTGAATTACAGCACACGGATCGGCGTCCTTAGCATAATTCATAAGTATAGACACGATCTCGGCAAATTTTTCCCGAAATTAAGCCTGTAAAACAGTTTGTTTATATAAACTTATAGGTTTAACCTCTATTGTAAATGTAAATAAAGTCGAGTACACGAAATGTCACCCTTAAAAGTGTAAATATAACTTTGAGGTACTAGATATCTTACAGGAAGCATCTAAGTGGAAAAAATGCTCAACAAGCACCTCGTATAAACTAAACGTTCATTGTTTCATAGCAACTCTAGTAATTGCAGAAAGTTTCGCTTCCCAAATATATAATTATGAAAAGTGCCAATGGACAATTTCGTTAAAAACTGTAGGTATTGGAAAATGTAACCAAGAAAATTAAAAACTTGTATAAAAGAAGTCAGTAAACAATCAGTTCTAAATGTAAGAGATTTGCACAGAAACTAGTTTTAGATAATTAATAAATTAATATAATTAGTATATATTGGATTTAATTTAAAACTTCAAACAAGCATTTTCATTTCTCTCGTTTCTAATATTCCCATCATGCGTTTTTTCTTATATTCCCACCAGTTATATATGCGTGGTAAAAACATTTTTGCAAGTTTATCCCTTTAACTTTAATAAACGCTAAAAAGTATCGTTTATTGTCTCAAAATTTAAAAAATGATTTGCTCTCAAAAATTTTCTCGTCAAAAATATTTAACAGGTATGTTATCTGCTAAAAATACATGTAGAAATTGCATTGTGTCTACCGGACTGTAGATACTAGTATCAATTCACACAATAATTTAGCTATATTTTATTGCAATCTGGATTCAAATCTAGATAACTAAAAATTACTTTTCCAGAAATGCTGGAGATGTTTTAAAAGTGTAAGTTCACATGAAACATTCTAGAAGGATGATGTCCTATTAAGAAATATTTTTTTCGAAATGCACACTTCAGACCGGCTTTGTAGACATGATTCTGGTTTATACCACAACTAGGACTTACCTTTAATTATAATAGCATTTTATATAGTGTTTTATTAACTGGTTTTGAAGTTCACAGTGAGTCACAATAATTCTATTTAAATTTTTCAAAATATCCTTAACTCCAAAGTTATCCACCGTCACGCTCACAATTCGGGTTCTATATATATATATATTCTCACGTATTGATTCACGGATGGAAAAATGTGATGACACTATATTCCGGGATATCATCCGTTCGCTCGTTGAACTCCGACTGGAATCCTGCATCCGACTGGAATCCTGCAAATCTTGCATCCGACTGGAATCCTGCAGACGTTTCGCCAAAATCTCACTTGGCATCTTCAATGCTCGCGCTCCGAAAACACTTCGAACACTGGGAGGTTATCGGCGGTGCGTGTGGTATTTATACTCTGCGCCGGAGATGGTAACGGTGCTGCTTGTGCGTGGGGGGAGGTGGCTCCGCCCCCTGAATTGTCGCGTTGTTAATTTCGCCCGATCGTAGTTGCGATGTCCCCGTTGGCTGCTGCGCATCGCTCTGCTGTTTGATTATCGTTCTCCACGTGTTGGATAAATGCAGAGCGTCGTCTCTCGTATTGAGGTGTCCGGACTTTTCTATTTCGATGGCCTCTCGTATTATCCTAGTCCTAAAATCAGGAATATTAGCTATTTGTTTGCAAGTGGCGAAATCAATTTTATGGCCTGTCTGATGTTGGTGCTGAAACAAAGCCGATGTTGTTTGTTTGTTTCTTATGGCTAAACGATGTTCCTCGAGCCTGGCTGAAATCCTTCTGTTGGTCTGTCCCACATACGTCAGGCTGCACGATCCGCATGCTACACTGTATACTCCTTGGTTTTCCAGAGTAATTTTTTGTTTTGGGTTTCTTAGTATTGCTCCGATGGTATGGTCAGGTTTGTATGCCGTTGATATGTCGTGTTTCCGTAATATTCGGCCGATTTTGTCAGTAACCCCCTTGATGTATGGCAGGACAGCGATCGATCTTCGTTGGGTCTCGTCCTGCACTCTCTGCTGCGGCTGTTGTTGTTTATTGATTGCCTTGTTGATGGTGCGCCTTTGGTATCCGTTTTGTTGAAGACAGGTACTAATTTTCTTCAGTTCTTTATCTCTGTTCCTCTCGTTTGTGAGCCTGAAGGACCGAGCAATTAATGTATTTGCCACTGCCTGTATCTGTGATGGGTGGTGATGAGATTTAGCGTTCAGATATCTATTAGTGTGTGTTGGTTTTCTATAGACAGTGTGTTCCAAGTGTCCATCTTCGGTCCTTGTGATGTGCACATCTAAAAAGGGCAGACTGTTATCCTCTTCAAGTTCTATTGTAAATTGAATCCTTGGGTGAATGGAATTCAGATGATCTAGGAATTTCAAAAGCTCCTCCTTGCCAAAAGGCCATACAACAAATACGTCATCAACGTATCTTGTCCATAGTTTTGGCTTCAGATTTGCCTTCTCTATTGCTTTCTTTTCGAAGTAAATCATGAAGAGGTTGGCAATCACAGGTGAGAGAGATGATCCCATTGCTGCTCCATCTATTTGTCGGTAAATTTTCCCGTTGTGCATAAAGTAAGCGTTTTTCAGGCAATGTCTTGACAGATCCATTATGTATGGAGGAAGATCTTCGTTTTCTTCTATAAGCAAGAGTGCCTCTTCTACTGGAATACTCGGGTAGAGGGATTTGACATCGAAACTTGCCATAATGTCGTCCTTGTCCATCCTGAGAGAACCTAAAATCTGAGTGAAATGTTCTGAGTTTTTAACATAGGAATCTGCCTTTTCCACTATAGGCTGAAGTGCACTGGCCAGATGTTTTTCCAGCTTGCATAATGGTGAGTTAAAGGCGCTTACGATTGGACGCAGGGGAACCCCGTCCTTATGGATCTTTGGGAGCCCATAGAATTTTGGGCAACGACTCGATTTTTCCCTCGGAATAAGTTTCTTCTTTGTATCCTCGTTTATTGATGAATCGAGAATTTTGGACTTAGTTGTTTTCTCCAAATATGTCGTGGGATCTCTGGTGACTTGTTTGTATATTGGGTCGTTCAAAATATCCTCCAATTTTGCATTATAATCCGACGTATTCATGACGACAGTGGCATTTCCTTTGTCTGCTGGCATTATTAGAATGTTTTCGTTTTTGTTTAGATTCCTTAAGGCTTGCATTTCCTCTCTGCTTAAGTTTGGTTGCGGTGGTTTTGACTGTCTTAAGACTCTGGCGACATCTTGCCTAATTAACTCCGCATCTTGTTCGTCTATGGTGGAAAGACTTGCTTCGACGTTGGAAACGATCTCTTCGACGGGTACTCTTTTTGGAGCTATTGCGTAGTTAAATCCTTTATTCAGTACGCTGACTTCTGTATCGGAAAGATGGTATGCTGAAATATTATGAACTGTACTGCTTCGGTTTGTATTTGGCACTTGTCCTGATTTTTTGTAATTTGACTGAAGGATTTCTAATTTCTTCCACAGTTTTTTTGACGTGATGTCCTTGTCCTTCTCAGTGCGCCATGATGTTAATAGTTCTATGCGGTCCCACAGCAACTGATGGATCTTGTTGCTCAGTTTCAGGTGGAGTCTGAAAAGTTGTAGCTCAGTCTCACTAATTTCGTACCGGGTCCGCCTGATCTGGTCTTGGAGTAGGGCCTTGCTAGCTTTGTCCAGGATAGCTTGTGTCTTTCTGGTGCGTGTGTGATAAGACAACCTTGTAAATGTTGGCAGCAAGTTCTGGTTGCGGCAGCTTTTAAGAAAATTCAAGTTGCACAGCGAAATAACCCTCCTTTGCCTTAGTTTTTCATAACACTTGGTGGCTGTAAAGGTCTCCTTCCCGTAAAGGTGTATGATATTCTCACGTATTGATTCACGGATGGAAAAATGTGATGACACTATATTCCGGGATATCATCCGTTCGCTCGTTGAACTCCGACTGGAATCCTGCATCCGACTGGAATCCTGCAAATCTTGCATCCGACTGGAATCCTGCAGACGTTTCGCCAAAATCTCACTTGGCATCTTCAATGCTCGCGCTCCGAAAACACTTCGAACACTGGGAGGTTATCGGCGGTGCGTGTGGTA